AAAAAGAATTGGTCAGGTGAATTGGAACCGCAAACCCCTTGTTATAAGCGAGCTTACATACCTGTTACTGTAGACGCTGAAATTGTCGGGCTTAATCCATTGGAATTGCTGGTTTGTTGGCGCGCTTTAGCAAAACAAAAAGACATGAAGGTTGGGAGTTCATCACTTCCATTCGACTTACATGACACTCCTGTCGCACTCCCAGCTGCAGAATTCGATGGTCCTAGAAAGAATTGGATAGTTGACTCGGCAGCTCTATTGGACGCGTTAGCCGGTAAAGGAACGTTTATCATAACCCTGTTTTACAGCAGATCTCGGCGTCTTCTTCATTAGTAACCCTAATATACGCTTTCTAACTTTGCTTATTAAACTGATGAAGACGAACAGATTTATATGATACGGAACAGCTGAAGCCCATACAATTTAGATTTCGTCAAAAAAAGCTAAAGTGAGCTGAAACTGCTAATTTTCTAGTAAGATGTGAAATTTGAAGTCTCATTTGACACTTAAGTGACAATTGAGAAGTAAGGCACTTAAAATGACGCATTCTTTCAACGAAGCATTCTTTATCTAATAAAAAACATACGACCGTCTGTATTTGCGAAACTTGAAATGTTGTTATAGGGGTTCCCTCGAAACAGAATCATAAAGGACCACAACACACTTCCGTTTCTCTCGCACCTGTCTCTCAAAAGAATATAAATCTCTTTTCTTAGAAAATATTTCGTTCTTTCTTTGTTTCTTGCTGCCTGTGGGACAGACCCGTGTTCTCCAACTACGAAAATATCGAGGTTATAAATATTAAAGAACGAAAATATTAATGAGAAAAAGATGGTATGGTTCTTGATATTTAATTTTTGAATCGTTATGATGAAGCGATCAAAGACTGGATGTGTGTCTTTTGCAGAAAAAGAATATATTAACAACGGTAGGTTCAATAGCAGCTATTGAATTGGTTTGAGAGAGATCGAAGTAAGAAAGTAAATGTATCGATGACACATTTGACTTTTATGTTTCTTTATTCACTTTATAACTAATGAAAAGCGACGTTTCGTTGAATACTGTTGACATTTTGAAGATAAACCCGTGCATAAAGATTTTCAATGAAGTAGGGAATCTGAAGCGTGATTGTGCGAGTTCGAGTCCGGACTTATGATTTTTCCAGAAGACTCATACTCGGACTGGAGACTTCCCATGTGCTTAATACCTGTAAAATACCGACGGTTACCGGGAGGTATACCGCCATAGTAAACGAAAATATCATCTGGCATACAGGCGGTAACCATGCGGTATGTCACTGTATACCGTCGGTATAACCAGCGGTACCGTCTGGTATTTTGTCATTCTGAACACGGAGAGGAGTCGAAATTAATTTTCAACTTTCTTTTTTTATTGTTGAGCACTTGTAGTCGCAGACAGACTCCCGACTGAGAGAAATGTCACTCGAGTCGAAGTTCAAACTTCGACAAGTCTATGTGATTTAAAAGAAAAGTTTAATCTGAAGAAGAAATCAAGTTTCTCGAATTTTTCTGTGTTTCTTTTATATCTTCATGGGTGCAAAATACAATGGTGAATGGATAAAAACGGCTACTGTGCGGTATTTTCTTACACCACGGTCTAACAAGTTACCATAGGTTAACCGCACGGTATACCGACATTATTTTAAAAAAAGCTCGAAATGGTTTTTTTAAGAATCAGACTCGGACTTGAGTTTTATGTCTTTCAAATCCGACCGATTCAGATTTTTAGATAAACGGATAGAAAATTTTGATTTTTTACTTTTGATTTTGTTGTTCTAAGCTGAAATGTCAGCCATGCGTGCATGTATCATGCGATTCGATGCCTGCTTTCGCCTGCTCATTCAATATCGAGAACATCACTCGCTGTAGTTATTATGATAACTACAACACTTCAGTTGCTAGCAAATAAGAAAAATAAATCATAATAATAAAAAAGGATCTAAACATTATCGGACCCGGATTGGATTTTGAAAGACTTTGACTCAACCTGAGCCGATGTTCCTCCGGATTCGTTCAACCCTGATCTGAAGTTATTATGATTCTTGCAGAGGCATCGAAACTTGAAGTAGAGCGAGTGAACTGTGAAAATATCTCCCGCAATATTTAGTACAATAGCATACTGTGAAATTCTCTCAGTGAGAAACATAAAGGATAAAAATAAAACGAATGTGTCTGAGTTTTGAACCGTGCGATCTTCTTCATAAAATGGAAGGACGGCAAACATGTTTTGTCGTTATACTAACATACGGGCTGCCACAATCGTTGCAACTAATAGCTTAGACAAGATCGGACGGACGTCTTTTAGAACAATTTTATTATTATTTGTTCCTTTTGTTGAAATAATGAACCGACTGTTTTTTGCATCCGTTAACTTTTAAATCAAGTTGACTTAGACAAGTCGAAAGTTCCAGCATATACTCACAATAGCGTCAGAAAGTGCGTGTTGGTTGTATGTTCATTTTACGGCCGTGAAGAAGCAGTAAGGCTACATCAGGCGTCTTTAAGTTTATCAGCATTTCTAAATTAAGTATAACAACAACCGAAAAACTAGCAGAGTAGAAACAAACTTTTGCTTTTCTCTGCTTTCATGAGCACAGTTAGAAGTAATAGACCAGAAAAAGTTTTGCGAATTTAATCTTGTATTCTTATAAACATAACATGTGGAAAGTGTTTTAACACGGCTAGAAGTGAGACAGTTTGATAGATAAACATGTGAAAAGAAAATATATTTCTTGACCGGATATCGAACTGAGGATCCTTGGGTAGCAGGTCAGAAGCTCTAATCACTGAAATACAAAAACACGATCTTACCTACAATCTCAGTTCATATGAATGATTTAACTATCAGAGTCTCGCATACTGACGCAGTATCCCTCCTAGAACGAGTAGTAGTAGTGCCAACCTCATTACAAGAGTATATAACTTCTCAAGGATTTATTATGCCTGTTATTCAGCTGATGAGTTGGTGTAAACAGATTGATTGTGAAATAGGATTTTATGAAATTAGAAAGTGAGTTTTTAATACGGCTAGAAGTATGACAATTTGATAGACAATATGTTAGAGATTCTGGCCTATTACCAGAGGGTTCTGGGTCCGATTCCGGGTCGAGGCATACATTTTGTTTTTACATGTTTGTCTATCAAATGTCTCACTTTTAATCATGATAAATTCACTTTCTAATTTCATCAAGTCCTGTTTCACCATTTATCTATTCAGTTGCATGTGGATTTGTGTGTTCTTACATACCAGTTTAAACATCAAGAAAGAAGAATCTACTCAAACACGTAGTCTTTTTGGCGAGTTTCGTGGGTGAAGAAACAGCACTACTAAGCCGTATTAGAAATTCCTTGTTGTCTTGTTCAATCTCTATTGATTACAGAAAGTGAGAATAAAGCATTAGAAAATTACATGTTCGCTCCGCGCTAGATCTAATTAAATGAAATTTATGTACTAGATGCCGAATTTTACCATGAATCTGACAGTTTCTTTTGGTTGCACTTTTATATCAACTAATGAGAAAGATAAGATTCTGACAAAACTGTCTCATGAGTGGGGTCTAATCAATGATTATCTACTACAAACATTCAATATTTGTTTTAAACATCATTAGAACAACAGACTGCTGTCTGAAGATTGACAGATCTGACAGCAGCTTTAGACATGATATTTTTATTTCAATATTAACGTCAGTGTGAAACAAACTTAGATTTCTGGAATCTGCTCAACATATCTCTATGGATTACAGCAGATATTATACTAGTAATCACTTTGTCTAAATTAGTATGACTACTGAAGTCTGTTTCACCTCAAACTTGTTTCATCACCTGAGAATGTTTTTATGCGAGCTATAGTTGCTTTCACCATCAGCGCAACTAACGTTACTTACACTCGAGTGTTTGCTTTAAATAATAAAAGCCGATTGTCTGTGTTTGCATAACTTGAAATATTGTTAACGGGCTGTCCCCTCAAAACAGAATCATAAAAAAAGTACAACACTTCCGTTTCTCTCACACCTGTCTATCAACATAACATAAATCTATTTTCTTAGAAAATATTTCATTTTTTCTTTGTTTTTTTCTACCTGTGAGACAAAACCGTCAATATAGTTTATTTCATTCAATAGTATTATGCTATGGATGATAAACACTCTAAGATTAGGATACTCTTTATAGTTACGAACATGCGGTAGATAACTGAATGTTTGCATTATAACAAAATCTGACTAGCAATTAACGTGCGCCATAAATAGAGTTTTTAAGCGGTGAGTGTCAGCATATCTTAGATGATATAAAGAAAAAATAGTAGAAGCGTTGCTGTTTAATTTCTTGTGCAGCATGGATACCGTTTAATTAGCTGTTGGATTTCTTCTTCGAAAATGCTCTCAGTTTTTTGCTCACATTGATGCTTGATTTATTCAGATAGAAATAAATGTGACAAGGGTTGGCTGTAGACATCTGGGTCTACAGCCAACCCGAAAGTTGGGTATGGGTCGGATTTTTTAAATTTCACCCTGAGGAAACTGATGCTACTAATTGTGTAAGAAGGCATAAATCAGATAAGGAAATCTATCAGTCACCTGCATATATGTGTTATTTTTTGCACTTTTGGGTACGGATAAACAAAATATTTTTGAGTCCGATACGGGTATAATTTTCATATCCGTGCACGCACATCTCCAGTTGGATGTGGTCTTTTCTAGCAGTTATTATTTTAGTCTTTTCTGAATCTTGACTCGATCTATCGTACGACGGCACATATTTTAAATGCGTACGCGTTATTGATCTTAGAGATAAACAATTGTCGAACCAGAATTGTTCCTGCAGAAGAAATAAAAGATATGTTTTTCTCGAAAACTGTCAGATAAACTAAACACGTTCACTTCTGCCACTTTTCGGCTATCAAATATATTTCGCACTGATGCTGTATTCCGACAATTTGTTATCATACTGTATTCGATTAACTGCTGATAAGATTTCGGAATGGCTATAGATATGGGCACTAGAGATGCGCAACCTAACACGTACCCGACCCGACCCGAAGGTTGGGTACGGTTACGAAGTTTTCGGGTACCGATCGGGTACAGGTTCTATTTTTTTTTAATTTATCCGAAAACCGGAAGGTTCTAGTGGAAAACTCACAAAACTTTTAGTGAAAAAATACAGTAGTTTAGCTAAAATACATAAAGGTTTAAAAAGAATTACTTGAGAACGTAATGAAAATTTGACATCTTCAGCCGAAAAACAAAAGTTTTTAGCTGGAAAACAAACAAAAAGGAGAAAATTTTTAGGCATATGTCGCATACGGGTCGGATACGGGTACAAAGTTCTCGGATCGGATTGGATACGAGTGAAAAAAAAATTTTCGGATCAGGTACGGGTACGAAAATGGTACCTGTGCACATCTCTAATTGCCACCTTCTAGCTTACTACTATGCCAGATGGTGTCATAGCGTCTATAACAGTCGGGGTCTTTATATTTGGGTGACAGATGAGCTTTTTCGATCTTTTTGTCTCCATGATTGATTGAACTATTATCGTTTTCAAAAAGCAATGTCCCTGACTAAGTTTTGAATAACTCCCTCAAAGAAAGAGATTTCGATCTCCGGTTTTCGCAGATCGATAGCCAATACTTTTTTGCATATAGCCCTGCAAAAACACTCTCAAAAAGAAAATTCAAAGTCGGTTTTCCAAGAGGATCTTTGGAAAACCACCTCCGTTCTCAGAAAGCCAACATACAATGTTAGTAATATTTTTGCATGCGTAGATAGTCCGGACGCTACTTTGCAAAATTATGCCGGTCCCGGCTCTCCAACTGTCGTCGTTCGGACAGGGCTCGCTTTCCCCGAGCACGTGTCTATCTGCGAGCAGACATTTCTGGGAATCTCCAAATGCCATGGAATATAGGTAATCGACTACGCTGAGCACAGTGGCAACAGTTGCTTTTGTGTAGAAATCAAAATAACTTTGCCAGAGGCATTTTAGTGAAAAACCGGTTTTTCGCCTGTTATTAGCAAAAATTAAAATCCTTATATCTCGATGAAATCTCATGCTAACTCAAGGAAATTTACAGGAAACACTCAACAGATGCCATATATTGTTGATCATGTCGACAAAGTGGTCCAGCAGAACACTGACGCTTTGAGGTTTTTCAGAAGGTTTCTGGGAAACCTTATGCCAATGCCCGGCTAAAAGTCACGTTTTTCGTCTGCGATTATGCGTTATGAGCTGTCCTGAGCGTTTCTTGAAAATTTCCTTGAGTTAGCATGAGATTTCATCAATCTCATGCTAACTCAAGGAGATTGATGAAATCAAACTGAATGAACACGCGAAGGCTTGACATCTTAACTCCTATCTCCATACTCTTTAAGTAGATGAAAAAGAGCTATCATAGAAATTCTGTTCCATTTAGTGCAAGCCGATATGACACAAAATGAAAGCTCCAACAAAACGCAGAACGCCGCAGAATCTCTTGGTCTGGAATCTGACGCCACTCAACTAGAACCAAGGCTGCCTGCTGGTAACGATGAAAATTCATCGCAACCTGAACATCCGTCATCCGTGTGTCAGTCTGACATATTACAGCAGCGCTTAGCGAGAAGTAAACTACCAATGTCAAACACGTGCTTTCCAACTCGAGATTCTAACAAGGTTGAAGAAAATGTGAACAATGTTTTGTACAATCAAAGTTTAGCTGGAAGTTTACTTTTGATGGCAGTATGTTTGTGGAACATATTTTATTATATAGAGCATGGTTGCTTTCAAGAATTTCGTAAATTATTAGAATTACACTATGTAGAAGCTGTACAAATGAGAAATGAAAAAGATCAAGTAAGAAAATATTTCAATATTCATACTTCTCGTCTCATTTAAATAATTCAGTTTGTTTTGACCGATTCAAGCATAAACATATGTAGTTATCTATGGTTGTTCAGTTAGAAAAAAAGAATGCATTTCGACTCTAGTCTTTTCTTATTGTCTGGTTGAATTGATATTGAAAACTTGGTCAGTTTCAAAAATCCACCTTTTCATCGTTCGTGTGCAGCTGAACAATAAAAGGCTTTGATCTTAAACTATTATTAATACGGGGCGTCTAGGAATGTATAGTTTCTATCCCTGTTGTGTAGAGAGTCAATAGATGGTAGCGACGTGAGGGAGCAACCATACAGCAAAAAGTTAAAAGGGAAGAGCCGTTCTTGTGATCACAAGTTTTCACAGACCACTGATCATGCATTATTGTAAAGTTGCATAGTTAACGGCTGAATGATAGTTTGATGAGCTAAGAACGCAGCATTTCAACTAGATATGAGCTGGTGTGCGTAAAAGCCCACTATCATTAGAGCCGTATCAAATAAGGCATATCTACTTCTTCTATCCATTTCGCACATGCTGTGCATTTCTGTTGTGACGAAAACAATAGAACGAAAAATTCTCTATTCTCTTGCATGTTTATATGTCGGAAAAGAAAAGCAGACTAAATATACGAGCAAGTAAAAGCAAGTTAAGGCATATAAAAGCAAATAAAGCATATAAAAGCGAGTTAGAGCAAGTTAGAGTCACAACTTGTGACGAAACTCTAACTTTCTGTTGTGACTCACAATAGAAATGCGCAGCATGTGCGAGATGGATAGAAGAAGTAGATATGCCTTATTTGATACGGCTCTATTCACACATTTCATAAGACGTAGACGACTTTTCTTTCCTTCGTATGTATATATATATGACTAACGTTTGACTACAGAACGAGACAAAATGAATAACGTTATTCGGTTTTCGTTCACTACTTTCACATTCATTAAAAAATGAAAGTGAAAGTTTTTCTTTCATATCCTTTGAAAGTGTATCGATTCATTTCAGTCAACATGCGAAAGGATGAGTCATAAGAACGAAAAAAGGCACAACGCAGGCAAATAATCCTAAAACAGATGCTATACTCGGTAACAGGCTACTTGAGTTTGTGACTTGTTCCTTACATGTGCCTTTCACACTTGCACGAGTTTTTTAAAACGATTAACGCATAGACAGAAAAGAAAACAGACATATAAAATGAATGAAAAGTGAAAGTTTCATTATTCATTCGCGTTTCGTTCAAATCAAACACTATACTATACATGGATAACGTTACAGAAAATAAAAGAAAGCTCGCTTGACGTTACACACAGAGAACGGAAAAGTATAACGTTCTCATTCATCTAGACATGGGCGGAACCGGGACCAAAATTATAAACTTTTTTTCCGGGACCGGCGCTGGAACTAAGGTTTCTCCATACTTAAATAGAAACGTTGTAGAAAATCGTCAGGAAGGCTTACTATTCGATCTTATGTAACTGGGTATGCGTCGATTATTTGCTTACATGATCAGAAGAAGAAGCATGCGGCAGGTGGGGTAACCACCCCCGTTTTTTTTCATAACTTTGTAGAGCGCATCAAGCTGTATATACCCTGAAGTGCTTTCGATGAGCAGACTTGTAATTGCTGAGAAAAGAAATTTTTACGAATTTCATACGATTCTGACCCTCTATTTAAAAACTTTATAAAAAATTCAAAATTGGAGTTGGAACTCTTATTGTTACGCAGTTCGACAGAGCACCTTAAGTGACATATACCCACAAATTATAATAAAAATTGAACCAACGGTGTCTGAGAAAATTAACATTTTTCATTATAGTGCAGTTTGAGTCCTTAAAGTAATTTTTTGAAACTTACGCACGCATTTCAAAAACAACGAAGCATTTTGAAGAAAAATTTTCGCTGGCAAAGCTGTTCAGGATAATGCTCTTCATACTCTAAGCGGAGCACTTTTTTCACTTCAGTGGAAAAATTTTGAAATAAACTACAAATAAAAAATGTTTAGCTTTAAATTTACTTAAAATTTGTGTAAATTGCATTTCTTTCAAAATTTTCCCACTAAAATGAAAAAAGTGCTCCGCTTAGGGTATGAAGAGCCTTATCCCGAACAACTCTGCCAGCGAAAATTTTTCTTCAAAATGTTTCGTTGTTTTTGAAATGCGTGCATAAGTTCGTGTACCAGGTAATGAAAAAGTCGAATTTCCATGCAACAGCGATTTCACCTAATATAGGTTTTTACTAGATTTTTGAATTTTTTTCGAAAAACGAACATTGCCACGAGACTCAGCGTGATGGATAACCCATGTTTCCATTCATTTTAGAGATTACCACACCTAAGGAAATATCTATCCTGGGGCTTCGAGAAAACCCGATGGCTCTCCTGAAGCACGGAAGATTAAGAGGTCGCTTAGTTTCCATTTTGTAGAGAACATTTACGCTAACATATCTATATGAGAAATGCAGGAGGCACTCTGGCAGATCTTGGAATTACGACCTACTCTTTCATAGACTAATAAGGTATACCACCTGCAGGTGGTATTTTCTGAGATATTTTTATGTCAACTTGTAGCTAATTATTTTCTCTATGCAATGCTGAAAACCGCAAGTCTTCGACGTGCACTGTTCAAAAGTTATTAAAGAAATAGCCACCGGCATTCGTTTTTAATAATATATGGGCTGTTAATTAATATAACAGGCCATATATGAAAAAATCTCGAAAAACTCCCCACATGCATGACAAATTAAAAAACCAAATACAGGATTTTGTAGCGCTTGAGCAGCTGATTCAAATGATGTATTGTTCGTTATATTTGAGCAAAAGAGGTTGAAGAAAAAAAGAATGCAAACGACCAGACTATACTGAATTGGCATCGGTTTCAGAGAAAAAATTTATAAATAGTCTATTAGGTAGATATTTTTTCTTTCTTTTTTACATACATAATAACTATGAATAATTGTGCATCTAAACAAACTTGAATCACATTTTTGTCATTATCCCTGAATGACTTATGAAATATCGAAATCAGCCACTAGACGGAAAATTCTGACCAAAGTCCCACGTTAAAAAATTCATAATTCCAACAATATTCATAGGACCGCCGAAATTTCTTGCGGATACATAGTACTCAACGCACTCTACAAACTGGCATATTTTGAGGGCACGTTTGTAGGTGGTTACCCCCCCTTAGGGGATAAATAACGGATAACTGTCAATTAGAAACTCCTGAACTTTCTGGCATAAACAGAGTATTTTTCCGTGTGAGCAGAATTGCTTTAAGGACCGGTACCATAAAAATCTTCCGGGACCGGAGCCAAAACCGAAACAACTTTACTGGACCGGGACTGGAACCGAAAAACCTTGGTCCCGCTTGTATCTACATTCATCTCATCTTTAATTTCAACCACCTTTATAACCGATCTTTCTTCGCCCAAATATGCCTCTTTTCAGTCCCATAACTAAGAAACTTCTTCCTTTGGAAGATCTTTTCCGATCAACAGTCTGATTCTTTCTTTGTGTTGAAGGACAGATAAACATATTTAGCGGACGACTATCATTGCACTGTAATAACGGTATAATAATTCTATTCGATTCTGATACAGCTGCGCAGAACCTGCTGATCTTTTGAGAAAGCAATTTATATTAGTATGATAGTATTTGCATACTTATTACGAATCGGCAGAATTTGATGAGAATTTGATAGAGTACAAACAGTGAGAGACGCTGCAGTGCGAATGAGACACAGCTATAAGGATACCTCAGAACTTCATGAAATTGTCGAACCTGACACCGCTCTCCCCCCAAAAAATGCATATTAAAACAGAACTCATAAATCAGTGTTGTTATTTTTCGTTGCGCTATCGAGAATAGAGCCGACGGGCTCTAAGTGTCATTGAATACTTGCGTCTAAACTACTTAGTCGTTTTTTTAGACGATTTTGCATGTTGCTGTCATACAATCACTTGCTTATGTATGGATTCGACTGTTGTTGATGAGAGAAGTTGATTCATGTGCTAGGGACAAAGACGGTTACACAGCCGCCCATTATGCCGCTGAAAAAGATGATTTAGAAATGTTGAAAGCGCTCACCATGAAGTTTCATGACAAAGTTAAAACACTAGCATCTAGCAATGTAGAAAAAATTTATGCTAGTTGTATGGAAGCACTCACAATAACCGAAAAGTCTGGTAAGTTTTAACATCGGCTCATTTAGCCTAAAAATAAATTATTTTTGTTTATATAAGGTATGACGGTTTTCATGTTAGCTTGCAATAAAACAGCAATGAAGTGCGTTAGATACCTGCATGAACAACAACCACATACCAATGTAAATCAGACGGTAAGCTCTCCAATTATAGGCTGAACGAGATTAAGTCTATATAGCGAAATCTAATGAAATTATTATAACAGGTAATTCTTTTAATCCTAACACGCCCGCCTGGGGTCCGTCCGGATCCCAGCCAGTTTTATTTTAATGTTATACGTACACAATATTAGATCAAACTTCGTCCATTTAGATATGCCTTAGTGAAGAGTGTTAGAGTACGCTGATAACATCAATCGGCCACACCCAGTCATTGTTGATGTGATAGACCTCCCCAAAGTACATGTGAACACTTGTTTCCCATGTGAGGTCCGTCAAGGCCCCATATCACAATACTCAATTTCGCTTTCCCATTTCTGTTCTATGCATTTCAATTTTACATTCTGTATATCTCTTCGTTTTTGAGAACGTTCTAGAAGTTTCCCGAACTTTATGTTTGTCATGCTATAGCAGTTTCGGGAGCATTTTGGTTCTTTCCAGAACATCGTGCTCAAGCGATTAAAAGTCCACTACCATTGGTGGAAACGCGCTCTTCTGTTCACTCTGTGTTCTATTCACGCACTCTTCTGTGTACTTTGAAACTCGATCAACACCTTGTTTATTCCTCGGTCACTCTGAATCTCCACCACAAACGTTTTCCACAGCGAAAAATGCGCTCAAGAAAGCTGTTTGATTTTAACCAGCCTAAACATTGGTACAAATGCATCGAAGATTTCGATGAAGGATCAGACGACGATGGTAGCGATCTACATAACGAAGCAGAGGGTTCGGAAGTACCAGAACACAACTCCAACGAAGCAGAGGATGATGTAGCAGTTGAGAAGGATTTACATATCCTATAAAAGCAGTATAAAAGTATATGAACACTCTTCTTATAGGTTTTTCGGATGTGATCCTTTTAATGGTGCGATTTACAAAGTTCAAAGATACCTGTATATGGGTTCTCCGAGATCCGGGTTTCTGGAAACTCAGATTAAAAATGTTTTTTAATTTTGTAAATCACACTATTGGAAACATCACATCTGAAACCTATAAAAAGAATGTTCATAGGGTTTATGGGTTTTATTGGGCTCTTGATTCTTGGAGGTCAGAATGAAAACAAGGACGAATTGTGGTCGATGATCAATGGACGACCCATATCGGGCAACAGTCAAGAAGAATGGTATTAAAGAATTGCTACGACTTGCAGATTCGTCGATGTAGCAACTCGAAATGAAAGTATTAAGGAAGAAAAACTGGCCTCAATTAGAGGCTTATGGACAATACTCCTGTCACGGTTGCAAATATGCACATCTGGTGGGTCATTGACCTTCGATGAGCAACAACATTCGCACTCGCAGTCGTTGCAACTTCCGCCAGTACATACCCAGAAAGCTCAACAAGTATTGGCTGCAAGTTTTTGGGTGTTGCTACTCAAGCACAGCATATCTATTGAATGTTGAAGTTTATATTAAGCCGCATGGCTTGATGGTTATACTGTTCGCCACGTACTTCAAGGGTACTGTGTTCTAACCTCCGCGTAGCAAAATCATGTAATAACCTTGGGTAAGTTATTTATTTCTTAATGCCTCAGATCACCCGTCTGACAGCATACTCACTACGTTGTGACGTACAATACAACTTCTTCGGCTAATCTTCGTGGCTTTCCGGAAAGCTAGTACGTAGTTAATGAAGTGTGTATGGGAAGCTCAAGTAATTGGGCGAAAGAACCTCGCGCCAGACTAGCCTTCTGGCGAGAACTGCAGTTGATGACTAGTAACTAGATGGATGACCATTTCAGAAGCTTGTCAACTGCAGGGAAGATATCAGACTATTGAAACTGCCACGGCAGCACCCTACACCGGTAACGGTAGCCGCAAGGCGGGGTATTCCTTCTGCCTTCCTTCTTATATTGGGCAATAGAGCAGCGTCCAGCCGCAGTTGAAAATACGAATAAGCAGCTTGATCTGTTCTTGGATCGATACTGGCCGAACCATCACTACAAATAACTATTTTACCAGTGCAGAGCTGGCAGAGGATCTTTTGGACGTTCATCTTGTTGGCATAATTCAAGTCCTCGAGAGCTGCAGCCAAACCCGCAGCGTCCCGAGCAGTCATCGATAGTCTGCTGTGATCGGGAGCTTACATTGGTCAGAAATGCATCAAAGAAGGAAAAAGCTGTGATCTTGCTGTTATCTATGCATCATGAGAAGATCGTTTGAAGAAAAGCCAAAAATAATTTTATATTATAACGATACAAAGAGCGGCGTTGGCCCGATGGATCAGATGATACAAACGTATTCGTGAAAGCGAAGAACGAAGCAACGGCCAATTAATTGGCCAAAAGCGTCCGACTAACTCTTTTTAAAAAACCCCTTTGATGTTTTGCTCAAACTGGAAAATCCTTCGCTACATGAAAATCCAAAAATAATATTTTCCTAAACCTACCAAAGCCAGGAAACCCTTCGACTCTTTCTAAAAAACACTTTTTAGTTTTTTGGTCAAACAGAAAGATCCTTTTGGTTTTTAAATACGCTTTTTTCTGTTTATGGCGATAATAAAGCTCTCACTTGCCGAGGACTTTCACAAAGTATTTGTTGGCAATAAAAGCAAGTATTTTTATCGTTGAGAAGTACTTCTGAAAGTACATGGCAAGTGAGAAATTTTGAAAACGCTTGACAATTTTTCCAAGTACTTGCATCAAGTACGTTCTGTAGGGAATTACTTTCTTTTTCATTATGGTCGATGCTGGGATTGCTGCTTTTATGGTATGGATCAGCAAAAATTCACAACGGAAAACGGCACCGCCGACGCTTATTTTTGCTGCAATTACGTCACGATCTCAGTGATGCGCACTTGAAGCGACGTCGGCAGCATCTGCAGACAGTACAAAGGAATGTTCGATTGGCACTGCAAGCTATTGAACACCTGTTATTGCTTCACTGCTCGCTGCTGCATCAGCAGGTGGATGGAAAGCAACGTTGCCGAGTTAGTCCAAGAGAGAGCGAGCGGAAAGTCGCCAACTGCTAGAATTGTCATATTCCTTATTGTCCAGATCATCACAAGGTCATTTCGGAAACATGCCTGGAAACGTTTTGAAAATAACAGAGAATGGTTAGAAAATTAAAAAGAAGAACGGACAAATATAACTCAAAGCAGTTGCCGTTCTTCTGTTCTTCTTGCAGTGAAGTCTCCTATAAAGCCACAGCTCCAGTATAGCCTAATACTGACTCCTTATACTGTTCCTGTTTTATCCCAGGTGGGATACAAGTGACTGTTCCATAGGTGGGCGTGTGAGGATTAAGGGGTAACTTGCTAAGTAATCAAAAATTTCCAACTTCAACTGAATTCAGTAAATATAGTAAAAGAAAAGTACTAAGTAAAAGAATGGTTAATAATAGCGAAACGATGTTTTTTCATGATAAAATTGTTGAAAAATAGACTGTTGGTGCTATCAACACAATAATGCTTAGACCTTCCATTCAAGCCAATATCGATCAGAGTGATTTCGTGTTTTTTTAGGATATTTTTGGTGATACATCACTACATTATGCTATTGCGCATAACCATAAAAATCTAACAGAATTTCTCGTTATTGAATGTCAGTGCGATATCAATGGTGGTAGTGAAAAACGTCCAAGTCCATTAGATATAGCTATATTTAATCAGAAAGCAGAACTTGTGAATTTTTTATTGTCAAAAAATGGGAAAAGTCGATTTCAAATTAAACACGAAAGTAAAAAGTGTAAAATATTTGAAGATGATCTTCGTCTCGATATAGAACGTTTATCGATTGAACCAGTGAGTACTCGATCCATGAAGCTAGAAATTGATACTACCAATGATTATCCAGTTGATCAAGGAATGGAAGTGATGGATAAAAAAAGGATATATGAAATAACTAAAGCAGCTTTAGAACAAATGAAACTGAAAGATTATCCAATCGCACTGAAATATCGTCAGGAAGAACAAAATCTTTTAATAAAATATTATGGCCGTTTACATGTTCATGTAGCAGATTCCTATAATAACCTGGCACTTGTTCATCATTTACTAGGTGACTACCAAAAAGCTATTGTTAATTATGACAATGCTATCGCTACAACCAATCAGTTATCAATATTGGCACATGATCACCCGAATATAGCAAATTTTTACGCTAACCGTGGACTTGTTTATGCTATATTGAATGAATTCGATGAAGCAACTGAAGACTTCACGAAAGCACTTGAAATAAAACAAACATGTTTTCCGACGCAAGCCGATGACATAAATAAGTTAAAACAATATCTCGAACAAATTAAGGATAAAAGATCGGAAAACTAATACATCAGTCAAAATGAAGGACACAAAACGGCTTTAGTTTAGTTAAAGTTTTCAACCGGTTATATAAATTTATAATGTACTATCTTGTGACAGAGATGGTATTCAAAACCAATAAAAGTTCTAAATACCAATATGGGTCATTTCGGTCAAAACAGAACAACATTTTTTTTTGAAAGTCGACGCTGGGTTAAGAAAGTACAGTATAGTTATAGCCTGCGATCCCTAGTTTATGAAAATGATATTTGTTTTTCGTTTACGTAGTTTCTAACACTGGAAAAAGCTGATTTTCTAAAGGTGTCGCTACACTACGAAAACTGGCGAATAATTTATATTCTCACTAGTTATAATTCGACTGAATAGACTTTCTACGTCTCGGGGTAGATATTTTTTCGACTTTCACAACTGAAATCCGTGTTCTGCGTCTTCCTCGAACCTTTTAACCCGTGCTAAACCCATATCTATCGCTTCTGGGTGATCTAATTGCCTTAATCCAAAT